TTAAATTGTAAAAATTATGTTTTGCTCCTTTGTGAAACTCTTCCAACAGAACATTGTCCCCATAACCATATAGCTGTGATTTGAGCACACGAAACCTAGCAATGAAATCTTCAAAATGTTGCCAATATTGGTATCCTGGCGTAACAGTCAGTTCATCCATACTTTGAAATTACAATTTCTAAGAATAGGATCATCTGACTTGTTCGCCATTATCCAAATCCATATGTAAGGACAAGACAATCATCCTTGATCGGTTTCTCCCTCATCATTCATAAACTGAACCAGTCCCAATTGTGAGAGTTCTGCAATTCTGATTTCTGTTTCGGGGATGATGAAATTCTCATGTATAGTTAGTTTTCTGTGACAATATTATCTGAAGGACTGGTTTTAAATAGATGCTCTTACAAACCCATTCACTATAACGGTCAACAAGTCTCACACGTATCTCATTCATTAATTCTGCAAAGTTGCAATTATCCAAGTCTTTACCTTTGATGGCTATCTCAAGTGCCTCTAGAGCTCTAGCATGCCCGCCCATGTCATTAACAAGTATATTTAGAAGAGGTTTGTTTGCTTTCCTTGTCTTTGTGGAGGGTTTAAAGAGTGTATAGGAAGATAGATACGTTTTTGATGTGAATATGCAACAACTTCGTGGAAAGGGCGACTGGAAGTTGCCGTGCAACAATTAATGACGAATGGACCCACATAAGCAAGAAGAGATAATTGAGTCATACAGGAGTATAATAAGGAAGACCCATACTTTCCATCATTTGGTGTTATCATTGCCGTTGCAATCCGTCGATAATAATAATAACAGTTAGATCATTAAATTTCATGCCCTTAGAAATCCTCTGTAACACATCACTTGGTGCAATTTCCTTATATTTATCACATACTCCAAGCCAATCCTCAGATTCCATGAGTTGAAACAACATTCACTTGCCAATAGCATTACTGGCAGGCTTCTCCACATTCAGATCAATTGCAGTGCCATTCTCAAATGGAAGATTGAAGACCATAGCATTATCAAGACGTTCCTTCAGCTCTTGCAGCTTCTGATCATCAACAAATAAACTGCGCAAAACCTTAGATAATTCAGTTGCATTTCGAGATTTTCCTCTTCCGGCACTATACATGCGATGGTAATTATTTTGCCAAAAACGTAATACGTAATACATAATACGTAATTACGAAATTAATTACGGGTGACGAAATCAATTACATGTGATGAAATTAAATGACACCTATTATTTATCTCGTTATACTAGTATAATGACATAATTTGTCAACCTTTTTTAGAAATATAGAATTTGTAATCTGCAAATTAAAAAAAAAACGTTAATAATAATGAAACAGAATGAATATTCTAATTAAATAGGATGTTATTCCCGTAACTAGTGTGTGACCATTTTGCAAAGCAAATGGTTACACACTAGTATTAAAAAAATTTAGTTGACTAAATAGTCAACTAAAAGAAATTTTGACCAACTAGTAGTCGACTAAGGATTTTTTGGACGATTCCAACCTCTATAAAAATGTTATTATGGATGAAAATATTTATTTATTATTTGTTTGTTTTCTAAACCAAAATAAAATTGTCCTTGAATGTAGTAGAATTTGTTCAAAAACTCAAACAACATTTTTTATTGATTAAATTTTGCATAAAGGAGAATTTTCTTTGTAGTAAAAATAAATAAATCAATATCATAATAATAAAATTATTTTCCTTTTAAGGATTTCTGCTTTTTGTTAGGTGATGCATCATCATCATGATGCTTTTATTTATTATTTTTCTTTCTTGCTAAATTTCATAGGCAATCCTTTCTTTTTTTTAGATAAGTTTCAAGTCTCTGAGTATCCTTTATTTTGAAAATGCAAGGAGCAATTTTTAATAACAATTGATTCAATTGATTTTTTAAATTAAATACTTACTAATGCTAACTACAATAAAATAATGCTTTTCTTAAAATGTAAAATAAACAAAATTATTATTACTGCACAATAAATGTTTATCATGTGAAAAAAAAATCCTTCCCAAAAAATCAAGTTTTAAAAACAAAGATTTTTTCTATTCAAATTCTGCATTGTTCACTCCTTTCATTTCACCTCACCTTACACTCATTAAAGATTAAGAAATAAAACATGGCACAAAATTGGGTTGATTGTGCCAAAAACCAAAAAACCAAAAGTATAAACTTATTGTAAGGAGTAAACATACTTGATTCAAGGAGTCAATGTACTTGTTACTTTTACAGGCGTGATTGTGAATATTTGAAATCGACTTTGGGGTGGGTGACACAAAATTATTAATAAACAAAAATAATAAAATTTACCACGCGTTGTTATAATTATTGTTCTTTGCTGATTCAAGTTATTAATTATTATTAATGGATTTCTATATATGTTAGCCGAATTGATTTTCTAAATACATCAAACTCTTCCTCAACCACCAATGAAATTGCAGCACGTGTATTTTTGAGGAGTGTTATTATTTTGTAAAGATGAATTCTTTGCTAATTTGAATCACCAACTTAAGAAGATAACATATATGCATGCATGTGAGAATTAAATTTATGTAAATTTGCAATTCACATCATCAGGAAATTAATTTAGCGTAAACTTGCATAAATCTTACGATGCCGACGTAATATTGTGTAAATCTTACAGTGCCGACGTAAGTTTTACACTTTTTTATTATTAAACTTACAATTGACATGTGTAAAATTTTTTTATATTTTCCGGATGATACACAAAATTCAAATTAGCCAAATTTTAATCATATCTACAAAAAATCCTTATTAGTAAAAATAAAAAAAAATAGAATCTTTGTTTACTTCACAATATCTTTTATAAACAATGTAGTAACAGGTGATAGGTCTACCACAGGGTCCATCACATACATAGTGAAGAAGTCAGGAGTCAGTGGTTCAATTATGAAAGTCCTAAAATATTATAAAAAATAAAATTTCTTTGACTGTAGGCAGACTTGCAATAGAATGTGATGAAAGAAATTTTATCTTTAATTTCTCTGTGTTAAAATTATATATTAATAATATTTATTTTTTCAAGGTTGCCATCATCCAACGTACAATTTGAATGTTTCTTTAACTTGTTAATATATGATCTCCCTATTTCACCATCATCTGAAAGCCAATTGATTCAAAAAGATAATAAAAACATCCTTCCTAAACAATCAACTATTATTGTTGAAGAGACCAGTACCAACAATAAAAAAGTGCCAACAAAAAGTAGACTAATAACTTTTTTTTATTTATTTATACATGTAATGTGTACACAATATACATCAAATGTTAAAAATGATAAGAAAAAACATTTGTAATAATAATCAATAATTTCATATGTTTAGGGAGATTGATAATTTGCTATGGTAGTGGGAAAATGCTAATTGTGGTCCAAAGTATGTAATAGTTGATATGAGAGGAGAACTTTGGAATTAATAAAAATATTATCATTACATCATCTTCAGATAGAAAATGTCAGATGAGCAAATCCAATAAATATTTTTCATTTGCTATGGCTATTTTGATTTTTGTGAAACAGTAAAATCTTTTATTTATTGTTATTGTACAACAAAAACAAACAAACAATTTTCTACCTAAAAAAAAATGCTTAATTTTCCACCTGAACTCCTAGCTGAAACATTCAAATACATTGAAGATGATGACTATAAATCATTATATTCTTGTATTCTTGTCAACAAGCAATGGCACAATATTAATATTCCAACTTTATGGAGAAATTCATTGGCTAGAAACAGCATCAAAATTATAATTAATTGTTTAGTGAAAGAAGATAAGAATTTCTTGACTAAAAATGGCATCAAATTAAATTTTGAACTATTGGAGAAACCACCATTATATAATTATGCTAGATTTTGTACTAGACTTGTTTTTTTCAATTTTGAATGGCTGGTAAAAAACATTCGTGCATCATTTAGACTTACACAAATTTTACAAAATAGATTAATAAAATTTATTTTAGATCATTCAGTGGGTATTAGAGAGCTTAGTTCTAGATATATAGCTCATAATTTGTTCATTAATCATCATAGATTTGACAGTATCTTTCAGAATCTTTATGAATTACATTGTGATGATTTTGTTCATGGCAAGTTGCTTGATGAATTAGCAAAGATTTGTAAAAATATTCAATCATTAAAAATATCTTATGGTAATGATAAAAATGCTCATAGTTTAGCACAGCTAATTAAGGCACAAAAGCAAATTAAATATTTAGCAATTGAATCATGTAAAATTATATCAGGTGAAAATATTTTACCAAGTGAATTGAAAGAAGCAATATTAACACATTCACGATCAATAATCTTTTATGAATCTACTAGTAGAAAAAGAAATTCAGACAATTCATTAATAACATCATTTAAAAATTTAAAGGCTTTATCATTAGGAAATGTTGATAATGGACTAAAAAATTTGATAAATATTTCACTACCATATATTGAATCTATAAGGTTACATAATGCATATCAATCATCTGTGCCAGTCTTGTGTAATTTTATTAATACCAATGGAGGAACTCTTAAACATCTGTATGCTGATAGTAATGGATTTTGTAACAATAAAAAAAATATCAGAGTTGCAATGAGGCTATTTCAATCAACCACACAAAATTGTAAAAATTTAGAAGATTTATCTATATTTTATGATAATGAATTAGACCAGAAATTAATGGAATTACTAAATAGTTGCACAAAGTTAAAAAGGATTAATTTTGATAATACTCATCTTTGTTCTGGTGATAAATTAATAACAGTATTAAATCAAACACTACCAAAAAAATTAGAGTCAATAATTTTTACTCATGGAGTTTTTGCCGATATTGGTGATCATTCACTAGCTATTCTAATGAAAAATTGGAGAGGACCCAAACCTGTAACAATGAAAATTTATAATTATAATGATTATGCATTATTAAAAAAATATCAAGATTTAGGATTTTTAAATATTTAATGTAACTTTTTTTTATTTATTATTATATTTATTCATTTAGTTATTCATGCACATTGTTAACTGATATTATTTATTTGTAGTTGGAAATCAATGGCATAAGGTGGTTTTTGTCAAATTACACAATCTTGATGGTTATTAATTGATATTTTCTTGTAAAAAGAGCCTGAGTCTTCTCAGTTCTGAATATAAATAACATTTTTTACTATATAAATAATTATCTCGATTTAACAATTATAACATATGCCATGATAACTTGATCAACTGTGATGGTTGTCCTGTAAATAGTTCAGTGTTTGTATGCGTGAAAGGTCTAGTTGTAAATGGACATGCAAGTTAAACTGAATACTGTACAAAATTCGATATTGACAATATTTTGCGCTGTTCCTTGAAAACTGGTAACAAATTGAAATACAGCGCCTGCCTCTATGAGGGCTGTGCTTGTGCCTTTGATGGCTAAGGTGGAAGTTTGACTTGGAACAACTGAGAAGGTTGATTTTGTAATTAGTAAAGGTAATTGGAAAGTGTTTCCGTCACATGTTGTAAAATCCTTTTTTACAAATAAAGATGAGGGAGTAAGGAAATGATAATTGGAAAAAACGAAAAAAAGAAAAAAGAAAATGCTAAACAAATCAATAACTCCGCAAAATGTAATGCTTCTCTCCAACCAGTTTCATTATTTTTAAATTTGCCTCTAATAGGTTCTGCCAAATCTTTCAATGCTACATTGAACATTGTTTAGCTTGTTTAATATTCAACATTTCAGAATAACGGAATGAATTTGAAAGGCAGTCATACTAATAGTTGCCAATTTTATTAGTTTTTTTTTTTAATAAAGGCAATACCCTGCTCATATAATTTTATTAGAATAAAGTAAATATAATAAATAATAATTCACAAAATGAATTCCAAATTAACTTTATATGAGGCTATTCCTCTTGGAAATATATATATACACTCCCCTACCATAATATTATTATTATATGGTTGGCTTGGTCTAAAGACCTCCTATTGTGCGTCATGCGACCAAATTTCAAAATAGCAATTTTGTATAAAAATTTTCAAAAAATAGGACTTCACGTGATTTTAGTTTTCTTACTGCCAAATTTAGATATATACGATAGTCAAGAGCTAGTCTAAATTTGGTAATATTTTCCTAAATTTAGAAATTGTCATAGTGGCCAAATTCCTCACGAGCATAGTAAAGTACATGTTTTATACAGTTCAAAATCAACTCAGAGACAAATTCAATTATGTTTTTAGAACAACTTTCAATATTGGAAGGAAGATTTCTACTGAACTGGCATGCAATAAAACATAAGTCATTTACCTGTAATTCTACCTGTATACCAAAATGGTATAAAATCCTGCAACCAATTGTATTAGAATCTAATGATGGTTCTAATTTTTTAAAGCCACAATTTATAACTCATAATATACAAAATCTAAAGGGACAATCAATAACATATCCTAATTTGAATACTCAAAGTCAATATTAGGTAGTAATCTGGAACCCTATGATACAGAATCCAATTTTTGGAAAGATTATAGAAAACATCCAAATTATAATCAAATAATTATTGAACATTGGATAATTAATAACATATTTTCAACAACTGATATTCCAATAATTCAAAAATGCAATGGTTGTGTTATTCATCAACAAATCATCATATCTGGAATTAAATCATGCACAAATATATAGTGTGTAACAAAAAAAACTGGAATTTTTTTGGTGCAATTTAGAAAAATGATGTTTTTTGTTTTTTCTAGCAGCCAATTGCCACTACATTCTATATAG